GTGGGGGTGACCGAGAGGCCGCAGCCGTCCCCTCCTCCGCCCTCGGGGACCCCACCCGCCCTGGGGGTCTGCATCACGGGCTGCGGTGACAGTGCAGCAGCAGCGCCACCTCCGGCCCCTTCCCTCCTGCCGCAGCGTGTGGCCGTCGGCTTATGAAGATCGTGGGCGGCAGCCCCGCGGCGGCCAAGAAGTGGCCCTGGCAGGTGAGCCTGCAGGTCAACGACCAGCACATCTGCGGAGGCTCCCTCATCGCCCACCGCTGGGTGCTGACGGCGGCTCACTGCATATACGGGTGAGCATCTGGGGTGGGGCCAGTCCTGTCCCCTCCCTGCGCCTCCCCTTCCTCGCCTGGAGAAGGAGGTCACCCCATAGTTTTAATTCAGTCTGGGGTGACACTGGAGGGTTTGCGTTTCTAGCAAGTTCCGTGGGGACTGCTGCTGGCCAGGGGCCCACACATGGGGAGCCGCTGGCTAGAGTGGGCAGGGGTCCTGCGGGAGGGGCTGTGGGCTACAGGGAGGAAGGGGTGAGGGCTGGCCTACAGGGATGGGCCCTGGCTGGGGAGTAGCTGTAAGGTGTGCAAGGGGAGTATGCAGACCCTTCAAGATCTCGCTGCAGCCACTTGGAATACAAAGTGAAAATAGGATACACAAGCCTGAGTCAACAACACACAATGGCGGTCGTGGTCCCGGTCCGAGACATCATTGTCCATCAGTATTACCAGAGTATCGGAATGATCCAAAATGACATTGCCCTTGCTCTGCTCGACGTTCCTGTGAATTACTCTGCATACATCCAGCCCGTGTGCCTCCCTGAAAAGACTTTCATGGTGGAAGATGATACCAAGTGCTGGGTGACTGGATGGGGCAAACTGAAAGAAGACGGTGAGACTCCAACCTGGTGCCCTGGGATTGGCCTACAAGCTCAAGGGTCCAGGAGGCAGAGGCAAATTTTGTAGGCTAAGGAAGGAGGGTGGAGAGAATGCTGCCAGGGAGGAAGGTAACAAGGGAAGAAATTCAACTGGTTTGTCAGGAGCTGGAGGCTTGGGTGCCAAGCGTGGCGTGATCTCTCCGGGATGGATTTGGGCTCAAGGGGTGATGAACTGTCTGCCAGTTCAAGCTGTCCCTCCTTGGAAGCGCCTTCCTTGGCACACAGGGTACTTCCTGTGAGTGAGAAAAGGCCAGAGAACTCTCAGTGAGGCTGGAGGGCCTCTTGTTCCTGGGGAGAGGCTGGATTTGTACCTCTGGGGAGCTCCCTGTCTGAGAGTCTGGGATCCTGCTCTAGAAAGGAAAGATGTATTAGAGAGGCACAAGACACCCTGCCACTACTACGACTGAGACCAGAATGACAGATGCTTGTTTCGATCTTACCCTGCTGAGGCTCCCTCTCTTGGCTCTGCTTACTTCTCCTGTGTTGGTTTAGATCTCACATATTCCTCTCCCCACGTCAGCTTCGGTTCTTATTTCTGCCAGCGTCAAATGGGGCAATGCCCAATGCCCAAGAAGTGTCTGTGTTTAAACACACGGTCTCGGGCCCCCAAGTGGGCGCTGGCAAGTCCTGTTTTGTCCCAATTCAGCAGATCCAACTTACTCCTAAATTATCTCTCTAGATCCACCAAAAAAGGCACCAGTTGATCTGCAGGAGGTTGAGCTAAGCATTATCCGCTTTAAGGAATGCAATGAGATTCTCAAAAAAAAGCTGTCGAGCATTACTGACATGGTACAGAAAGGAGTGGTCTGTGGCTATAATCCCCAAGGAAAGGATTCCTGCCAGGTCAGTACTGGGACCCTGTCCACCTCAGCCTTGCAGTGGGCGTCTCAGAAGTTCATACTTTCCTAGTAGGGCCAGCTTGTCCCCAGCCCTTCCGCTCACCCTTACTCAAGTTAATGGGACACCAGGACAAGTTACCAAGAAGCTCCTGGGCTCCCTTGACTGATCCTTCAGGAGAGAGCAGGTGATCTGCCTGGCAGGGGAGGGAGCCTGGCAGGTCATATGGACAGTGCAAGTTCAGGTTCTGAGCCCCTTCTGTGGGACAGGCAACTTACTGTCTCAGGTATGTTTTTGTTGTTTATATTCAGTTTTTAGAACATGACGTTTTTAGAAGGTCCACATTTTAATTTGTTGTTGTTGTTTTTGTTTTTAATTTTTAATTCTTAGGCCAGCCAGTGGCTTGGTGATTAAAGTGACTGAATCCCACGTGGTTGACTGTATGGTTTGAGTCCCAGGCTTGGTTTGGAAAACATGCTGGGTGTACCTCTATGCATGCCCAAAATCTTGAGAGGAGAAATGGAGAAGGGATTGTGACCTGACCACCCCTCTGGGGGGGTGCTCTCTCACCCTCCCTCTATCTTGCTCTGTTGAGCACACACACCCTGTAGCAAAGTAAGAAAATTTTTTTTCCCGTTTTCATATTCCCAGGAACCTAGGGCTGGTGAGGCCTTCAAGGTGCCGGGGGAAGCCCATGGAAGCCTGTCTCTCCAGCACCTCGCAGGGCAGTCAGCCTACTCTCCCATGGAGCCACTTCTATTCCTGCAGTTTATTTATTTCTCTTTCTGCAGGGCGATTCTGGAGGGCCCCTGGTCTGTGAATTTAACAAAACCTGGATCCAGGTGGGGATTGTGAGCTGGGGCATCGGCTGTGGTCGCAAAGGATACCCTGGAGTTTACACAGAAATTAGTTTCTACAAGGAGTGGCTCATTAGACGACTGAGTCGAGCTTCCAGTCTGGACCCATCAGGCTTCCTCATCCTACTCCCATGTCTGCTGCTGCCCCCGGGCATCCTGGGCACCCCGTGATCACCCCGGCCCACACCCTTCCCATTTCTGAGTCTCACACTTGGGCCTCTCCTCCAGCCACTTCCCCTTCCTCCTCAACTGTCCTGTCCTCAAATCCCAGTTGGACCTGTTGCAGAGCCACACAGTAGAGCATGGCGGGGAACTGGGGCCTGGAGTGTCCCGGCCCGGTGTGCTGCTCACCTCCCTCCTGGGCTGTGCTCTGCCTGGGTGGAGGAGGGGGAGCCGAGTCCCGCTGGAGGGCCGCTGACCTGAGGTGAGCATGCTCATCGCCATCTTGGAGAACTCCTACGAAGAGGAGACGTCATCCGTGGTGACGCAGGTGTCAGACCTGGTCCTGGTTTCAGGGCTCTCACCCAAGACCTTCCAACCAGTCAGCCTGGTGACTGCTCAGAGAGTGACGGTGGCACTGCCAGGCCCCTGCAGAGGTGCGAGGCCCAGGACTTACACCTCTGCCTAGTTGTCTGGGGCTGGGAGACGTACCCCTGTGCCCCTGTGTGGATCCGTGTGTGAGTGGACAGCCTCTGCCACACTCGCCCTCCTGGGGCACCCTAATCTTGGCCCCCCTTCCTCAGTGCCCTAGTGGCCACATCCAGGCACACCCTACGTTGTGTTGAGGTGGTTACGGAGTGCAGAGATTTCCAACGTCAACTGAATAAACGTTTGGAGAGTCCCCTGTGTGCCCGAAAGTTCTGCTCACTTGAGTCTGGTGTATACCTATTCCCTGCAGAGACCTGGTTTGGAAGGATCTCAGGGCCTCCATTAAACACTGGTAGAGCCAGAGTTGAAGCTGCTCCCATGTAAGACTTGCTGCCTATGTAGCCATCAGCCGCTCTGTATGTGGGAACGTTGTCATCATGTTTAGTAGCCTCTGTAGTTAGAACAGGGGAGCTAGAGGCACAGAAATGGGCACGGCCCACCCACACCCTTATACCACTCCCTGCTGCCCTGGAGCAGGTGTGCTTTGAGAACACACACTGGGCTATGGGCTGAGACTTGAGGTCGAAGAACTGAGTAGCCACAGGGAGGAGGGCAGGAAGAGGGGCTCCTGTGTGTGCTTTTCCAGTTACCAGACCCAGTGTTTCGGTGTCACCTGAGTTGACTGCCCTTTGCTCCCTGGCCTTTGTCTCCTATGTGCTTGTCCTCCCCTGGCCAGTGCCCAGCTCCTGGATACCAGTGGGCCTTGGTGGGTGGTCTGCGATCGTCCTACCTGCTGCCTGGTTACAGCTGAATCCAGCGAGTCCTAGGCCACAGTCTTTTACAGAACTGCCCGGTAGGTGGCCTTGGAGGCCCAAGGCTCACCACGTCCCTCTGTCACTTGCAACTTTCTTTCAGAACAAGTTGTCTGGCCCTTTTCCCTCTGCTCCCTCTGGAAATGCCAGCATGGCTTCTCCTTTCCTTCGTTCTTCATCGTTAAGACTGATGCGAACAGAACCTCCTCCCATAGCTTCCCCTGTAGCTAAATGGATCAATGAATACTCACTTATCCTTTGTCACTTTGGAGAAGTTTTTGCGATAGGGCGTGTGCGCTCACCAGACAGACAGAGAGACACAAAGAGACAGAAAGCGAGAAATCACCCCCCAGGGGGGATGGCCACGTCGCAGTCCCTTCTCTATTCTCCTCGGGATCTTGGGCACATATGCACATATGCCTGGCGTGAGTTTTAAAGCCACCAGGTCTGGAACATGAACCGTGTTCGACTATATGGGAGCCCAGCCACATAGCCATTACACTAACTGCCTGTCCCATAGGATGCCTTTTTTTTTTTTTTTTAAGAAAAATAATTTTTTATATAATTGTATTTATTATTATTTAATTTTCCATAGGGCACATGCCTTCAATAGAGAGAGAGGAAAATGAGAAAGCAGGTCACCAGGTCTGGGACTCAGTCGGCCATGTGGGAGTCCAGCATTCTAATCACCATACCACCTGCTGGCCTTCCAGGATGCCCTGTTGAAGAGGAGGAAGTGCAGTGGGCAGGCAAAGGTTATGGCCCAGCTGCAGGAAAAACCCCAGGCTCTGGGATATTCATAGTTCCAGATGGGGTGCCCTTTGGTCTCCAAATACTAGATCATATTTCTTGTTGTAAGGGAAGAGGAATGGAATTTGAACATCTCAATCACTGAGGAACAGTCTCTGGATGCCAGAAAACACAGGCGCCCCACCTGCCTCCGCCCAAGTCCAGAGCACCAGGTGCCACATAAGAGTGAACATTTTTGCTCTTTCCAACAAATATTTGTAGGTTACCTTGTAGGAATCAGGCACAGGGCTGGGGAAGCAAATAAAATGAGAATTACAGGTGGCAGGGTAGATGTGGTCGTTAGGAGGACCCTGGGGTAAGGTTCTCTGGAGGAGATAGATAACACTGGGAGAGGAGGGTCGAGGGGGCAGGCAACAACTCTGCTAAAAATACTGGACTTTTTTTTTTAAAAAAAGGAAGGCAAACAAACAAACAACCCCTGTGGTTTCTAGCCCTGAGGTGTAAGTGACAGATAGCAATGAGCATTTTTGGCACCCACCCAGATTGTTGGTCTTGAAATACCATTTACTGGGGCCAGCAGGTGGCATAGTGGTTAAGGTGCTGAACTCCTACATAGTTGACAGCGGTTTGAGTCCTGGACCCAGTGGTTTGAAACTCATGGTAGGTCTGTGTGTGTGTATATATGTCCAAAATCCCGAGAGAATGGTGGAGAAGGGATTACATCATGGCCAACCCCCCGGTAGGTGATTTCTCGATTTCTGTCTCTCTGTCTTTCTCTCTCTAGTGAGTGCATGCTCCACATAGCAAAAACCTTTCTCTCAAAAAAAAAAAAAAAAAAAAAAAAGAAAAAGAAAAAGAAATACCATTTACTACCAATGGAAACTGGACTTTTTTGGAGAGATGGCTTGAAACAAATACAGAGCAGGGAAAGTATAAAATGAGCCTTCAATTTCCTGCCATGCCAGAAGGCAGGGAAGCTGTCAAAGACTCATGGAAACAAGTCAGAAGGACTCGGGAATCCGCTGGAACAGGCTGTCTATGGTGACACGTGTTCCCGCTAGACGCTGTGGGCAGAGTAATCATGTCCACCGTCCAGTTACTGAAGGATTGACTCATCCTGGCAGGAGGGGGAAATGGAGGACAAAGGACTGCAGTGTGACCACAGCTCATTGGAGAGCTTCTAGATTCCCGGAAACATTGGAGCCTTTCAAAGCACCCTATGGGCACCCTACTCCCCAGTTTTATTTATTAGATTGTAAGGAAAGTCATGAAATATTCTTCAATTTTGTTATGCAAAAATGCTTCATGACTTTCCCAACAACCCAATATTTTTTTCCCATAGTGCATGTGCATTCATCAGAGAGAGACAGTAAGAGGGAAAATGAGAGAGAAATCACCCCCCACGAAGGATGACAATGCCACAATCCCTTCTCCTCCATTCTCCTTCTGAGACTCTGGGCATACATGCACACGCAACCGACGTGAGTTTCAAGCCACCAGGGCTAAGACTGGAACAGCGGTCAGCCATGTGGGAGTCCAACGCATTAACCACTCTGCCACCTGCGGGCCCCACCCAGTTTTCTGTTTTGATGTTTTGGATCAACCTCTTTTTAGTCACCACTGATGATGCTGCTCAGGCAGCTGTGATGCTAAAATAAGGAGTAAGGCGACAAAGGAGTGAGTAGGCATTGTTCCAGTCCTGCTAGTTTGTGATAAACGTCACGAGAATAAGGTTATTCACACAGGTATCCTAGTCAGGTCAAATAAAGACAAGTCTGATGGAGCTTTTCAGTGAGCTGCTAGACAAGTCCAATAGTGACAGTCACTGGGGGTGGGGCTTTTGGTGCCACCAAGACTATTTCCCCCCTTTTTAGCAGCTGCTAGGCTGCTGGCTCTCACAGCTCCTGTATTGGGGGACTGTTGATGATCAAGTCCACCATTGACCTCAGAGAAGGATGTAGTTCTTACAGTGATCAATGAAATTCAAGACTTTTCTTGATTAAGCCTTTAGTTAATTTTCAGAATTCTAAAAAAGTTGATTTTCACAAATTTTTCCAGTAATCGAAATGCTGCAAACTTTCTATTTGGTTCCTTTGATTCTTTTGCCAATAACACACTAACTTGATAGCTTTATAGTAAGTCTTGAAATTGGACAATATGAAGGGCCAGCCAGTGGTGTGCTGGTTGGGGTGCCAGACTCCCATTTGGCTAACCACAGTTCGAATCCTGGGCCTAGTGTCTTGCTTTCTCACTTTCCCTTTCTCTTTCTCTCTGTCTCTCTGGTATGCACACACATCCTATAGCAAATAGAAAATAATAATAAATAAATAAATAAAATTAAAATGTATAAAAATGGGTAATATGAGTCTTTCAACTTTGCATATTTTAATTTGTTTTTATTTGTTTATAATGTTTATTATTATTATTATTTAGGTTTGCCATAGGGTATGTCCACTCACCAGAAACAGTGGGAGCAAGAGAGAGAAAGCAAGCCACTAGGTTCAGGATTCAAACTGCAGTTGGCCATGTGAGTTCAGCACTCCAATCTTCATGCCACCTGCTGTCCCAACTTTGTCTTTTTTTAGGAATTGCTTTGGATATTCTTGTAACTTTGACTTTTTGCATAAATTTTAGTATCATAAAAGTTTGCTGGAATTTTGAATAAGATTGTTTTGAATCTATAGTTCAAGTTGGAGAGAACTGACATCTTAACAATATTTAATCTTTTAATCAATAAATGTGATATTTTTCCTTTTAGGATTTTTCTTGATTTTATTACTTGATGTTTTATAGTTTTCCATATATAGATTGAACACGTATTTTGTTAGATTTATACCTAAGTACCTCACCTTTTAAAAATGCAATTGTAGGAGCCAGCAGGTGGCATGGTGGTTAAGGTACTGGATTCCCTCCATGGCTGACCATGGTTCAAGTCCCAGACCTGGCAGCTTGAGAGACACAACAAACAAATAGATAAATAAATAATTTTAGGGAACCAGCAGTTAGCATAATGGCTATGTCGCTGGACTCCCACGTAGTTTACCGCGGTTCGTGTCCCGGACCCGGTGGCTTAAAATTCACGCCGGGTGCGTGTGCGTGCGTGCCCAAGATCCTGAGAGGAGAATGGAGGAGAAGGGATTGCGGTGTGACCATCCCCCCTGGGGGTGATTTCTCGCTTTCTGTCTCTGTTTCTCTCTCTGTGTCTGTCTGGCGAGCATATGCGCCCTATAGTGAAAAACCTCTCCAAAAAAATAATAATAATAAAACATAAATACATAATTTTAAAAATGCAATTGTAAATGTGATATTTTTCCAAATTATGAGTGTTTGTTGCTAACAGAGGTATATAATTTTGTGGATTGACTTTTTATCCAGCAAATTGCTAACTCATGTATTAATTACAGCAATATATTTTTTTTATGTGTGTGGATTTTTCTGGATTTCCTATAAGAACAACTGAGTTGTTTACAAATAACACAGTTTCATTTCTTCCTTCTTAATTGATATGTCTTTTATTTCTTTTCCTTGCTATATTGCATTAGCTGTTCTCCCAGTACTGTGTAAACATGCAGGAGTGGACGAAAAGCACATCCTTGTCTTTTTTTTTTATATATAGAGGGAAACCATTTCTCTCTTATCATGAAAAGTTCTTTAGTATCTTTGTAGCTACCCTTTATTAGATTAAGAAATTCCCTTCTCATCTTAGTTTTCCAGTAATTTTTACTATAAATGGATGTCGAATTTTGTCGACTGCTTTCCTACATCTGTTGGAAAAATTATATGGTTTTTACTATTTAATATTTATGTTAATATGGTAAATTACACTGATTGGCTTTCAGGTATTGAACCAGCCTTGCATTCTTGATAAACTGCATTTGTTCATAATATATTGCTGGATTAGATTTGCTAATATTTTGTTAAAGAGTCTCGTGTCTATGTTCCAGAGACATATTGTGGTGTAGGTTGCTTGTCCTGTAATGTCTTTGTCTGGTTTTGGCCTTAGAGTAATGTTGGCCTTATAACATAAGTTGGTAAGTGTTCCCTCCTCTTTTTTTTTTTTTTTGTTATTTATTTAATTTTATTTATTGTTATTATTTTTTAATTTGCTATAGGGTATGTGTGCTCACGAGAGACAGAGAGAGAAAGAGAAAGCTGTCAGGTCCGGGACTTGAACTGCAGTTGGCCATGTGGGAGTTCAGCACCTTAATCACCATACCACCTGCTGGCCCAGTTCCCTCTTTTATTTTGTGATTTGCAGACTTGGTATTATTTATTTATTAAATATTTGGTAGAATTTGCTGTGAAATCTGGGCCTAGAGATATCTTTGGAAAATTCTAAATTACAAATTCTGTTTTACAAATAGACATAGGTCTGTTTGTATTACTTATGTCTCCTTGAATGAATTTTGATGGTTTATGTCTTTCAAGAAATTGGTTCATTTGACTTAAGCTTTTGAATTTAGATAGAGGTGTTTATAGTATTTCATTCTTATCCTTTTGTTCCATCTCTTGTTTCTGATATGGGTAACTTGTCACTTCTCGAAATTTTTTCTTAGCTAATCTGCATGGAGGTTTATCAATTCTACCCCCCCCCCCCCCCCCGAAGAACCAGCTTTTGGTTTCAGTGGTTACTGTAATGCTTTCCCATTTTCAGGTTCATTTGATCTTTGCCGTAACTTTTATTATCTTCATCTTTCTACTTACTTCAGGTTTAATTTTTCTCTTATTTCTGTGGCTTCCTAAGGTGGGAGCTTAGATGACTGATTTGGATTTTTCTTCTTTTCTAATACTGTATACTCATCTAATACTGTAAGCTTCCTCTTAAGCACTGCTTTAGTTGCATTGCACACATTTTGATGTTTTATTTTCATTTTAATTGAGTTCAAAACATTTTAAATTTCTTTTGTGACTGGTTCTCTAATCCATATGTTATTTAGAAACATGTAGCTTAATTTCCAGATATTTGGAATTCTAACATCCATGTCATATCCCAATGTCTTTCTCTTACTGTTTCTTGTTAATTCTATTACGGTCGAGAACATGCTTCACAATTTCTAATTCTATTGGTATTGGAACGGCACAGGTGGTGGTGTACTGATCTGCAGTGCTAGAAGCTGCACGGCCAACTACAAGTTCAGAAATACACCCAGCATGTGCACATCCCAGATCCTGGCTGGCTGCAGGGCTGGGGAAAAGGAATCCTCGCATGACAACATGTTGTCAAGGATGTGTGTCTCTCCTTTTCTCACACGTGTGCACACATGTACTCTATCGTAAGTAAAGGTTTTTACAATTTTTATTTCTTTATCTGTGATAGAGAGTGGATATTTATCCAAGATGAGCATGTGTGTGAGAGAAGCACCCCTGACAGAGTTTTGTCACACCATGACCCCCTTTTCCAGCCCTCCAGCTCCTTAGAATCCTGCATATATGTGCCTGGTGTGTTTTCAAGCTGACCAGGGGCTCTGAACCGAGGTTTGCCACATGGCTTCCAGTGCTGTAGTTCAGTTTGCTACTGACTGTACCACCTGGCTGGGCCAAAATAAAAATTTCAAAAATTTAGATGGATTTTACATTTATTGAAATTTGGTTTAGGGCCCATAATATGGTCTATCTTGACAAGAATTTTTTTTTTCTGCTGTAGCCGAATGGAGCATTCTATATATGTCACTTAATAAGCTGATCGTGGTCTAGCAGGTGGTGTGGTGTTTAAGACACTGGATACCACATGGCAGACTCCATGGTTCAAGTCCCAGACCTGGTGGCTTGAAAAATACACCAGGTGTATGGGACCAGCAGTTAGCATGATGGCTATGTCGCTGGACTCCCATGTAGTCGACCGTGGTTCGAGTCCTGGACCCGGTGGCTTAAACTCACGCCGGGCGCGTGTGCGTGCGTGCCCAAGATCCCGAGAGGAGAATGGAGGAGAAGGGATTGCGGCGTGACCATCCCCCCTGGGGGGTGATTTCTCTCTGTCCTGTGAGTGCATGTGCCCTATAGCAAAAACAAATCTAGAAGAAATAAAAGCAATCTCTTAAGAAGAACAAATCAAAAACCCCAGGTTCCCACAAATTGGTCTCCTGTTTCTGTGTGTATCATCCACTGACCAGTACATCTTACCTCTTCCTAATCATTTCTTTTTTACTTTATATAAAGATCCTTCTTTGTCCCTCATAACTGCATTATGTACTATGACCTGAAGAAATTTCTATCCCATCGTTTTTTTCTTTTTTTGCTTCAGATGTGTCTAGTATTTCTTTTTCTAATCTTTTTATTTCCAATTTATCTGTATGTTTTGTTTCAAATTAGTCTTTTCAGATAACACGTTTCTGGACTACGTATCTTCTTCTCTAGTTATTACTTAAAAGTAGTTGTTTTGTCTGGTGGTCGCAACCTAGTCCCAACAGCGGTTGCAGTCGCTGTCGCGTCGGGACCCTTCCTGCCGCCTCGTTTTCTTTTGTTTGTCACACCTTTTGCTTCTCTTTTAACCTTCCGTTGGGAAGACTATGCTTTCTAGTGCTATTAAGGACGCTAGTGATCAGACTGCACGCAAGTGGATAGCCCAGGAAACCTGGGGGTTTAAGATCCATGAACTTGATTCCACATTCCCAGTCTTCGCATTCCCAGTCCTCCACATCCCTGCTCGGACGAGCAGTGGCTGGAACACCCGGGATCCGAGCCTCGGGAGCAGTCCTGCCCAGCTCCCGGCTTCCCGCCGCACGGGGCAGGGCGCGGCGCCGCCAGGGGGCGCCGAGAGAGGCGCGAGCGTGTTGATGGCGTCCGTGCGCGGCCTCCGTGGCGGCGGCGGCGCGGGCTCCCTGGTCCTGCTGCTCTGGCTCCAGCTCCTTCAGCCCCGGCTCAGCGAGGCTCTGGGTGAGCAGCGGGGAGCGCGGCTGGGCGGGCCGTCGCGGTCCCTGGGAACAGGCCGGCTACCGCGCTCCTGGTCTCGTCTTGGTCAGGTCGGGGTTACAGAGCAGAAGAGGAACCCCCAATGACCCGGGGAAGCCCAGAGTCCTCGGCCCCTGTAGGAACCCTGAAGTCACCAAGGACTCCGGAGCTGGCCGTAGCTCCAGGATCACCGGCAACCACGGGACCTCCAGGACCCCAGCATCCTTCATCACCGGCCTTGGGGGCAGCCTTTGCACCCGCTGAGAACCCCACACTTGGAGGCCCATTTCCCGGAGGTCCGGCTTCCAGGGCCCGCCCGTCTGGAGGTCGGAGGGGAGCCAGTCTGGATGGGAAGGCGGAGTGTCAGACTGTGCTGGCGGGGTGGGGAGAACCGGGACACGCCCGCCCCCATCCCCACCCCCGGATCCGAGGACCCGCCTCTGCCTTGCGCGCGGGGGGGGGGTGGAGTGTTGGGGGGTGTTGGACGGGTTGGATGGGGTGGGAGAGCCGGTGCAGCAGCTTCACTCTGTCACCTGTCTCCTGGGCCAACCAGTGTGCGGCCAGCGCTTCCCAAAGATCGTTGGTGGACTGCCGGCCCCACAGAGGAAGTGGCCCTGGCAGGTGAGCCTGCAGGCCAATGACGAACACATTTGCGGAGGCTCGCTCATCGCCCGCAGCTGGGTGCTGACTGCAGCTCACTGCATATTCGGGTGAGCCTCTGGGGTGGGGCCCTTGGCAGTGGGTGACCTGGAGCCAGTCCTGTCCCCTCCCTGCGCCTCACCTTCCTCACTTGGAAAAGGAGGTCACCCCATAGTTTTTATTCAGTCTGAGGTGAGACCCGAGGGTTTGCATTTCTAGCAAGTTCCCAGAGGACAGCTGCTGGCCAGGGCCCACATGTGGGGAGCCACTGGCTAGAGTTGGCAGGGGTCCAGCCATAGGTGGCTGATGGCTGGCCTAGGCAGCTGGGACCAGGCTGTGGACCCCCCGGAATGTGAACGGGGGCGGGTGTCTTAGGGTCTCAGAGAAGGCCATGTCCTGTCCCCGCAGCAACTTGGAATACACCGTGAAGATGGGAGACACCATATTGCGCGATAAGTCCTCTAGGGCGATTACGGTTCCAGTCAGGGACATCGTTTACCCTCACGACTTTGCAGCTGACAGCCTGAGTAATGACATTGCTCTCGCCCTGCTTGCCTTCTCCGTGAACTACTCCTCTCTCATCAGTCCCGTGTGTCTCCCTGAAAACCTTTTTGAAATACCAGCGGGGACCAACTGCTGGGTGACTGGATGGGGCCGACTGTCCGAGGATGGTGAGACTCAGGCAGTGTGCCGAGGTGGGGCTGCCTGGTGACCTGGGGTGGCCTGCCAGCTACAGGGAGGGGCAGGGAGGTGCTTTTCTAGCAGGCAGAAAGGCAGGAGGACAGTGTTGTGGGTTTCTGTTGATATGTCAGGGCTTGGCTGCTAGGTATGGTGGGTTCTCTTCATGGTGGATTTCTTTTTCTTTTTAAATAATTATTTAATTGTATGTATTATCTAATTAATTAATTAATTATTTCAATTTGACCAGAGAGAGAGGGAAAGTGACAAAGCAAGCTGCCAGGTCCAAGGCTCAAACTGCCATCAGCCATGTGGGAGTCCAGCACCTTAACTACCATGCCACCTGCCAGCCTCCAGGGTGGATTTCAATTACCTGGCAGTTGGAGCTGGCCTTCACTAGATGAGCTGAACTCTCTGAACCCAGGAGTATAGGCCAAACCAAGAGGTCCCGGCAGGGAGACTATATGGCCTGCTATCCTTAGAAAGAGGCTGGATTTGGTGCCTTTCCAAAGTCTGTGAACCTCCTCTAGAAAGTAGAGATGCTTTGCTGAGGCACAAGACACCCTGTCACAATGACCCCTGAGACCAGCTGCTTGGTCTTGATTTCTCAGGCTGGCGAGGCCTGGCCTTCCCTCTCCCTGGTCTGCTCTTTCTTCTACCTTGGTTTGGATCACGAACCTTCCTTTCCCACGTTGACCTTGGGCCTTATTTTGTCTCAGAACAAATGGGGACAGTAGCCACTCTCTGGCCTTCCTTTGAGGGGACAGCCCTGTGAATACACCTATCAGAACCCGGAATGGACACGAGAGGCTCCTGTCCTGTCCCACATGTGCAGACCCACACCCCTGACATTGTCTCTCTGTAGATTTAGCACCGTCACCCATCAACCTTCAGGAGGCTGAGCAAAGCATCATTCGCTTTGAGGAATGTAATGAGGTGCTCAAAAAAAAGATGACAAAGACAGATGACGTGGTCAAGAGAGGAGCAGTCTGTGGCTATAATGCCCGAGGGAAGGATTCCTGCAAGGTCAGTACTGGGGCCCTGGCCGCCTCAGCCTTGCAGTGGGCGCCTCAGAAGTTCATCCTTTCCTAGTAGGGCCAGCTTGTCCCCAGCCCTTCCGCTCACCCTTACTCAAGTTAATGGGACACCAGGACAAGTTACCAAGAAGCTCCTGGGCTCCCTTGACTGATCCTTCAGGAGAGAGCAGGTGATCTGCCTGGCAGGGGAGGGAGCCTGGCAGGTCATATGGACAGTGCAAGTTCAGGTTCTGAGCAGCGGCTTTCTTTGTTTCTATTCTGTCTTTTAGAAGACAGCTTTGAGTAGGTATAGATCTTCATTTGTTAAAATTTTCAAATGGCACATTTCCAGAACCCAAGGGGTGCCGGGGGAAGCCCCCGCAGACCTGTCTCCTCCACACCTCACAGAGCAGGCAACCTGCCCTCACATGGCGTCGCTTCCATTTCTATCGTTTGTTTCTTGCTTTTTCTGCAGGGTGATTCTGGGGGGCCCCTGGTCTGTGAACTTAACAAAACCTGGATCCAGGTGGGGATTGTGAGCTGGGGCATCGGCTGTGGTCGCAGAGGTTACCCTGCAGTATACACGGAAGTTAGTTTCTACAAGGAGTGGATCGTTAAACAACTGAGCCGAGCTTCCAGTCTGGACCCATCAGGCTTCCTCATCCTACTCCCATGTCTGCTGCTGCCCCCGGGCATCCTGGGCACCCCGTGATCACCCCGGCCCACACCCTTCCCATTTCTGAGTCTCACACTTGGGCCTCTCCTCCAGCCACTTCCCCTTCCTCCTCAACTGTCCTGTCCTCAAATCCCAGTTGGACCTGTTGCAGAGCCACACAGTAGAGCATGGCGGGGAACTGGGGCCTGGAGTGTCCCGGCCCGGTGTGCTGCTCACCTCCCTCCTGGGCTGTGCTCTGCCTGGGTGGAGGAGGGGGAGCCGAGTCCCGCTGGAGGGCCGCTGACCTGAGGTGAGCATGCTCATCGCCATCTTGGAGAACTCCTACGAAGAGGAGACGTCATCCGTGGTGACGCAGGTGTCAGACCTGGTCCTGGTTTCAGGGCTCTCACCCAAGACCTTCCAACCAGTCAGCCTGGTGACTGCTCAGAGAGTGACGGTGGCACTGCCAGGCCCCTGCAGAGGTGCGAGGCCCAGGACTTACACCTCTGCCTAGTTGTCTGGGGCCGGGAGACGTACCCCTGCGCCCCTGTGTGGATCCGTGTGTGAGCAGACAGCCTCTGCCACACTCGCCCTCCTAGGGCACCCCAGTCTTGGCCCCCCTTCCTCAGTGCCCTAAGGCCACATCCAGGAACACCCCACGTTGTGTTGAGATGGTTACAGAGTGCAGAGATTTCCGACGTCAACTGAATAAACGTGTGGAGAGTCCCCTGTGTGCCCGGAAGCTCTGCTCACCTGGGGGTCAGGTGCGTACATCCAAGGACCCGCTTTCCTGTTAAGGTCTAAAAGTATTTATGTCCTTAAAGCCTGGGAGGAGCAGTGAGGACTGGCCTGCTGGGATGTGAGTCTTAAGGATGGTTCTAGCCAGCGTGGACCTGTGCTAGGCAGCATCGCTGCAGGCAGCTGTGGTCCCTTGAGCTCCTGGGGACTCACCCTGCGGGGAGCTTTGTCACAGAGTTAGCAGTCTGCAAGCAGGCAGAGGGAATCCAGAGGCAGGATCTGGGAGTGAGTAAAGCTGGGGCGTGAGAAATAGCTCTCCACAGCTTCACCTCACTCCCTCGCGCTGTGCCCAGAGAGCCCCATTCATGCGGGGAGAGGGGCGAGAAGGGCGAGAGGCTCCCTGATGATCCGCACAGAGATGCTTTCCCCTCACCACAGTCCTGGCTTCCCAGGGTCTCTGTCAGCTGCGGACCTACCCGCCCCGATCTGCCCTCTGTGCTTCCATGGCTCCATGCTTCTTCTGCGAGTAGTCTGTTAGCCCCACCTCTGCTGGTGACAGCTTACAGCACACCTTGTCTCCTGGTGCTTACAGCTCCAGGAGTTTTAAGAAAGCACTCAGGGAACCAGCGGTTGACATAATGGCTATATCCCTGGACTCGCATGTAGTCGACCGCGGTTCGAGTCCCAGATCCAGTAGCTTAAACTCAAGTCAGGCACGTGTGCGTGCGTGCCCAAACTTCCGAGAGAATAGAGAAGGGACTGTGGCATGGCCATACCCCCTGGGGGAGATTTCTCACTTTCTGTCTGTCTCTCTCTGTCTTTCTGGCAAGCACATGCACCCTATAGCAAAAATCCTCTCCAAAAAATAAAATAATAATAAAAAAAATACAGATAACTGGGACATGGTGGTTAACATGGCTGGATCTCACATGGACAACTGCGTGGTTTGGGTCTGGGACCAGGCAGCTTGGAAAACATGGTGGGTGCATGTACATACATACCCAAGAACCCAAGAGAAGGGTGAAGAAGGGATTGTGGTGTGGCCATTGCCTCCCTGGGGGAGTGATTTCTCACTTTCCCTCTCTCTCTCTCTCTCTCACTCTCTGGCAAGTACACACATCCTATAACAAAACAACCAAAAAAAAGGTACAGATGATGGGGTCCCCCCCACCCCCACAGGTCTGGGGGCCCTGAGACATTAGATTACTAACACATTCCCAAGGGACCCCCATGGGCTGGTGGGAGCCCTCACATGTACAGGCTGAAAGGGCCGCTCCTACTGCCTGCCTTGGCATGGCGGGGCATGCATCGCCTCTACTCTGGACCCCATGGATGCCGGGCTGGGGGTGTGGCCCCGAGTCTGGCTGGACACCGTGAGCCAGACAAGGGAGCAGGGATCTTCGGGTCAGCGCCCGGCCTGCCACACCCTGCAGATCTCTGCAGCAGCCTTCCGAAAGCCCAAGGCCTAGGGCGCCACCGCCCGGTCAGTTGCCTGAATCCTATGGACCATCTGGGGGAAAGGGCCAATGCTCCTCCTTCCTTAGGTCTCCTCCAAGACTCCATTCCAGCGTGAGGTCCAGCTCAAGTGTCGACTTCTCAGACACGCCCGAGCCCCAGCCTTACCAGCCCTCTCCTTATGCTGCCCACGTCTTTCCAGAGTCTCAATTCAACAGTGATCCTGCAGCCCTCCAGGGCGCCAGCCCAGGCCCCGGCCCGACCGTGTGGTCGGAGGCTGGGCAACAGGTGCCGTCCATGGCCCAGGGATCAGGTGCATGGGGTACTGGCAGGTCCTGGGGGTACTGTCACCATGCGGGCACTTGGGGTGCTTTTGTGGGGCCACCACCCGGGTGCGATCACAGTCGGGCTCTGGGGTCCTCTTCGAGGAATAGGCACGAGGCGCCCTGCGCGGGCTGCAGCGGGGCAGGAGCGCAGTCACGTGCTGCTCGGTTCCCGCCCGCGCTGTCCGCAGCCGCCAGGGGGCACCCGTCCCGACCCCCGGCCGCCGCAGTGGG